TATTCGTGCAAACCCCATCGCAGGGATTGGCCTTGAGATCTGCACATTCGTCGATATCTAAAAGCAAAATGAAAAGGCAGAGAACTTGTTGATCAACACTTGTTCTAGATCTGCTTAAAAAGGAAGGATACAGAGAGAGGAAAATATGAAGGAGAATTAATGGAATCGAACCTTGGCAACCCTGGGGAAGATAAGGATTCCCTTGGTATCCCTTCTTACATTCACAAACGTATCCATTTCCGGAGCTGTGTTCCTTGCATTCCGTATTGCTGCCGCAGTTGGCAGAGACATTACCAGTTTTGCATGTACTACTAAATTCTATCACCCAGTCCAGCACCATGGGAACGTCCCTATCGGCGCTTTCGATATTTTTTACCTGATACGACGAGAGATTGAACCACTTCCTGTCGGCTATCAAAGCGGTCGCGCATCTTGTCGATGGTTCGTCTCTCAAAAATCCCAAATCATTTATATGCCTGGTAGTAATATAGAATTCCTGGAGTGGCGGGACTGGGGTGCTGCAACAACCGAAGCCATTACATTCACTTGGATTGGTGGTCACAGCCAATTTTGTACCATTTATCTTGAATTCAGTCGTATTACAAAATGACATACACCCACCAATGGTCTGATAAGAGCTTGAACCAATGAAGTAGCCAAGGTTGTCGCAACCCAGGGTTATGAATTTGTTACTCTCTTGCGATAGGAAGTACGGGGACGATGTGAAGTTGTGCCCATAGAAGATTCTGAAACCCTCTCCGGAAGTATCACASYTGGTAATCGACCAACCTCTGGTAACAACTTTGCCTTCAGCCAATATGTCTACGAGATCCCGTCCACCACCAAATGACATTTCCGGGGGATTGCTGGAAGTGTCGTTGCAAAATACGTTGAACCATGAATTTTTGGAACAATTGGCTCCTATGCCGAATGGATAGGGGATGCTAACATTGCCGCATTTTTCTTGGCATCTAGGTTGTGCTGTTGTTGCTGTTGCCGATACTGTTAATTCTTCTGGTAGCGACAATAATAATGACAAAGAGATGAGCGCAAGCATTCCACCACCTACAAGACCTCCAACATTTGTGGCCATTCTTTTAAGTTCACACACTTCACTTGCAGTGGATGATTTATCCCTTTACGTATAAAATAGATTAAGAAAATAAAAGCAAAGAGGAATATGCCAGGAAACAAAGGCTGAACAAGAACGTCTTCGAAGAGACAAAAAACAAGGGCAAAATTTTAAACTATCTTTACTGTTTAGTTAATTAACAAATTATATCCTTACTATTTATTTTCTGTTTTAAACCACTCCTAACTTGACAATGGAATAGCTTTACCTAGATTGTTAGTACAAGTTAATGTTCCGTCAAAATCTGTACATGTATAACACCATGTCATATATAAAACTTTTCAAAATCCAATAATTCCCTTCTTCCCTTTGGCCCAATCAAAATTATGCGTTCGTCGCAAGTGCTTCTATTTTCCCTCTTTCTCCCCTCCATAGGGGAGTGTGAAATTCAAGCAAAAGTCAAGATTATTACCTGAATACATCACAAGCACTTTGTTTCAATGGTTTGAACCCAACCCACCTTGCCAAACTTTGCTTTGGGTCGTTAACGGAAGATCTGAACCTGAGAACCGAATCTCTGTCTCCTGTAAATCGAGCTCTGCTGCTCTGGTTCTTCAGTTGCTGCKACAAAACAATACCTTCAAGTTTCATTTATACGGAAAAAGAAGACCAACTATGGACTGACCCACCAGATTGAAAATTGTTCTAGGCTCCGCAACTCAGGTTCAAAACCAGAAGCTTGTTTGAAAACATGAACATCGGAGATTCAGTGATGGTTTAGATATTTTACTTGAAACATATTGTGAAAATATGAATATTGAAATTAGAAATAAAAAAGAAGAAATTAATAATTTATTATTTGAAATGTACAATTTATATGAATCCGAAGCAGTAGGAAATAATCCTCCAACTTGTACAACATCTAACATCTTCTACTTCTAATCTTGAGCCCAGTAGTAGAAGAGAAAAACTTTTTTATTTAATAAGTAGATCGCAAAAATCTGTTACTTCTACAACAAGTTCATTTACTAAACTTAATTTTTGTTTACAAACAATTTTTTCTAGTTTAGGTGAGAGAACAAATAATTTTGATATTTTAGCTTGGTGGAGTGAACATTCAAAAAATTATCAGTGTTTGCCACCATGGCACATGATCTACTAACCCCTCTRACGTCTATAGTTCCATTAAAATGTTGTTTTAATGCAGGTACCAGGGTATTGGATGACAAAAGAAACTGTATGAACGATGAAAGTATAGAGATGCACATCTGCTTTAAGGATTGGCTAGATGTAGAACATAAATTACAAGACAAAGGAAGGCATGATATTACACCGGATATTTCACCTGAAGCAGATGATGAAAGTCATGATTCATGAACAATAGTTGACTAGTTGTATAGAATTTTTTTTTT